TAAAAATAAATTACTGATGAACCTACTTTTATGCTATTTTCAAAATAATCTGAATACATGTATAGTAAACACAAACAGATGTAGTTGTGTTTATTACTAAATTTAATTTTTTTTTCTACAATATTTAGTAACATATGTTGTACTTTCTTATGTTTAAAAAAAAAATTAGCTCCTTGAACTTATAATTATCATATAATGATATATTTATTACTTTGTTATGCTTTGTAATCCTTGTTTTTACTCATCCTGTTACAAACTCATTACCTTTATAATATGATACATGTAATTATGAAATGTTTTTACAGCCTTCAGATCATTCTTGTATTACAACAAATCTCTGGAAGTTTATTCCGTCCTGAAAAATGATATACAAATTGTAGGGCAAGGATAAAAATAGTTTAACTTTTGCCATTCTATCCAGGCACTGATTAAGACAGGGGCACACCCGGCATACATCCCCAGTAAAAACCAAAATATGTGATTTATAGGTAAAGTTGCAGCCAATTTTTAGGGCAAAATATGGTGCTCTAACTCCTAATTCTCAGGATCGCACTCCCTAAACGTAAAATCCTGCATCCACGCTTGCTATCAAAATAGCTATTGGGAGGTAGTTGCTTCTTCTCTGACAGTATAAAATGAAATCCTGAAATTGCTATTCCAATTTCATAAACTGCTTGGTTCAAAATTAAAATGATTGATAAGAAAATTCCCTGTCTAGATCGATAAATAGGTTAAAGGAGGAAACAATTATTTTATAATTTTGACAAAGACATTTTCAGGATGTTTCAATAAAGGGAAAACAGTTAATATGAATTTATTTTGACCTAGATATTTTCTGCTGATTAGACAGAAAAACACTTCATATTATTTTTAAAGAAGATATTTGATGGGTAGGTTGATAAACATATTTAATGTCCAGCCCTTGGCAGTAGGAGTATGTTCTTTGGTCTGTGCTTCCTTCCCATACCATTCAGGTTTAAGTTTTGATTTCAGGTAGATTTTGTAGTTTATGATAAAGTTGGTTCATATAAACTTGGCACTTAGTACATATGCATTCTTTTAACATTGAACTTTTAAAAATATGTCAAATTACTAGGGTTTTGTCTCAGATTTTGCAGTTCAATGAACATGGAAATGTGATATAGTGGTATCAGGTATCCATGTACTTTTGTTTTAATTTTATCCCATACATTTTCATAGTGAACAGTTAGTATTTTGATTTTTGTCATAGCCAATTTCTGAGTATTATATATATAGTGGAAACAAGTCCTAATGTAATTGTGACCAAGGTATGTTCTAGTTTGTGTAGAATAAAAAGGTTATTATTTTAATAATTGCTGAAACATAATACCCAAGCACTGATTATTGTACACTTTTTTAAGAACTTATAAAAATTTATTCATGATATATCATGATTAAAAAGGGGGGGGGGGGGTAGTCCAGGATTGTTCTGAGTTTTGACTGTCTTTTTTGTACTGTTATACTTGATGGGGCACCAACAAGTCCAAAAAAAAAGACAGCGAGACGTCAGTGCAACTCATGGACTGGTTGGGAGATTATGAGTTTTCAAAAAACTAGTTTAACCATGCCACATATTCATGTGCATGTCCAAAGTCAGTGATTGTATATTATCATTGGAGAATTTGGTACATGGAATATTTTGAGACTTTCTTTAATATATATTCAAATTTTTTCTGTACTCTGGGTCATTGACATTATTGTAAAAAATTATGTTTATAAGTGAAGACCATAGTACATTTTGACTTAGATAAATTGTTGGGTTAATGTCTCATTGACATATTCTTTACTTATCTCCTTTTTATTCCTATATATGTCATTCTGTTTTCTATTGTATAGATCCTTTATAATACTCTGAGACCTGGGACTAATACATGAATAGTCCCAGCTGACACTTAAAGGAATTCACAGGGTGTCGATCATAAAGGATGTTTATACAGAAACCATATTATATTATATAAATATTAACCATAACTGATCGGTCATATAAAAAACTTATTAAAATTTGTATTGGTACATAAAGGTGGGTTTTAATGCAAAATAAATAGGCCATATCATAGAGGTCAATATGAAATGTCATTTAAGGTTAGAAAGCTTACAGTTGCTATAGATAGATGGATTAAGAGAAATACTTTTTCTAATGAAAGAAAGTTGTTATTCTTTGTATCATTTACTATATCTTTTCAAATATCTTGTTGAAAAAATATGTTAAATGGATAATGATGGCCAAACACTACCTTTCCGCCCTATGTGCTAAATGAACATCTTGACCAGATTTGAAGTTGAGTGGATTATAACTGTCCATCTGTCTAGTAAGATTGACCACTGGCATTGTCCTAGACCTTTGATGTTCTCCAAGTAGCCCCTCCCATTATGATCAACATCTGCAGTAACAGTTAAATTTCCGTCACTTTTCAACTTGTTGAAAATTTTAAGTTTTTGTAAGTGTTTAAAGAGAGATAGGAAAAGGTAATACTAATTAAGGTAAGACATTTTTTGGTGAGAATAGTTTTTTCCTGGCCTATTAAAAAATGGTACATTTAGAAAGAGATTTTTTTTTTTTATGAAAATGGTGTTTTGAAATAGTTTCCATACTTTTAAATTCTCAATTGTAACAGTCAATGTACATTTGAGTTACCCTTTTATTTGTGTCTTAATGTTTTATTTGACTCAATCTCATTTAAGAACTGTTCAGTATAAGTAGCAGAAATGTTGAATTGGCTAACTGGTACTTAAGCATGAATTCTTTTGATAAATTGCATACTGTTGTTGAAAAATATATGTTGGCCTCTTTTGGTTAAAAGTGTTTTTGAGTTGCTGTATAATTGATGGATACTTTAAATATCATTTTGTTCATACATACATCTCCTAGGAATGTATTTACAAGATATTTATAATTTAGAATTGCTGTTTCATCACAATTTCTTTTTATTTGAAAGTATTCATTTTCAGTCTTTTTAGATTAACAATCATCACAATCAATAAAAGCATTTTATTGAAATTTGTAATACAAACAGTAAAAGGGCTTCCCTGTTTTATAGAACAAAACTAATTGTACCTTATACAATCATCTTACAAATCATCCTTCCAGAGACTGGTTTCCACACTTAAAAGGAATGAAAAAATTTTATAGAACAAAAAGTCCAAAACTTATTGTACCTTATACAATCATCTTACATTAATCATCCTTCCAGAGAGACTAGTTTCCACACTTATAATATAGAATGAAAAATTGTTAAATTCTTTTGCATGTTATTTGTGATAGAAGAGTTACTGCTAAGTGAATCCTGTAAGATTTGAGTATTTTAATTCACAGTGGAGACTATCTGTCAATATTCATCATAAGTTTGATTATAAAAGAATCAGATTTTTTCCTCAGAGTATATTTTCTCATGTACATCTTTGCCCTATAGTATTTTCATGAAATTTACATGTTAGAAATACCATACTAAAATTAAGTGCTGCTTTACGTATACATGGCCATGAAAATATGGGTTTTTTTGTTTTGTTTTGGGTTACATTTATAGATAATTGAATTAGGTTATTAGGTAAAATATGTTTACTTTTTTAAAATATTTATTTCAAATGTATTGTATTAGAAACAATCTTACTTTTTATTATAATTATACTTAAAAATCTCAATAAACAGGTTTAAGATATATATACAGACATACTTTTCTAGGCCTATAGCTAATTTAGTCAAATGTATGTCACAATACAAATTTTACTGCAGAAATTTTAAGTTAAAAGAGAATTATTATTTATTACAATTATATATTGTAAGTCAGTGATGAAAGCACATGTTACATTCTAATCTGCATCTGAAAAAAAACCCCAATGAATTTAAAAGTACAACTGATGTAAATAAATGTAAAGAACATCAGTACTAATATAAGTAGAATTTAGGACCTTAAATGGATGGATGGAGGGATGAATTGATAAATGGATGGATGGAGGGAGAATTGATAAATGGATGGAGGGAGGGATGAATTGATAAATGGATGGAGGGAGGGGTGAATTGATAAATGGATGGAGGGAGGGATGAATTGATAAATGGATGGAGGGAGGGATGAATTGATAAATGGATGGAGGGAGGGATGAATTGATAAATGGATGGAGGGAGGGATGAACTGATAAATGGATGGAGGGAGGGATGAATTGATAAATGGATGAAGGGAGGGATGAATTGATAAATGGATGGAGGAAGGGATGAACTGATAAATGGATGGAGGGAGGGATGAATTGATAAATGGATGGAGGGAGGGATGAATTGATAAATGGATGAATGGAGGGATGAACTGATAAATGGATGGAGGGAAGGATGAATTGATAAATGGATGGAGGGAGGGATGAATTGATAAATGGATGGAAGGAGGGATGAACTGATAAATGGATGGAAGGAGGGATGAATTGATAAATGGATGGAGGGAGGGATGAACTGATAAATGGATGGAGGGAGGGATGAATTGATAAATGGATGGATGGATGGATGAATTGATAAATGGATGGATGGATGGAGAATTGATAAATGGATGGAGGGAGGGATGAATTGATAAATGGATGGATGGAGGGATGAATTGATAAATGGATGGAAGGAGGGATGAACTGATAAATGGATGGAGGGAGGGATGCATTGATAAATGGATGGAGGGAGGGATGAATTGATAAATGGATGGAGGGAGGGATGAACTGATAAATGGATGGAGGGAGGGATGAATTGATAAATGGATGGAGGGAGGGATGAATTGATAAATGGATGGAGGGAGGGATGAATTGATAAATTGATAAATACATGGGTTGGTGAAGTGGTTTCATAATATAAAGTTGAGTAAGTGTGTTATATTTGCCAGAGAGGCAACCAAAAGATGAGATAGAAACAAAGTTTGACAACTCTTTCAATGGACATTTACATATTTTCCATCCAATTTTGGTCAAAATTATTGTAATAATAGTAACATGAGGAATTCTTTTTTTAATTTTAGAAATGTTACAGTTGAAAGCCAGCAAATAACATAAGAAGCATAAACTTCATATTAAAAGAGAAATATTAAAAGCAAACATTGAAGACCATCTACCAGATCCAAGGAAACTTGGCAGCAGGTATGTACTTTAAAAATTGAAAAAAGGAGGCAGAAGATAACCAAAGGGACAGCAAAACTGACAAGTGGAAGAGAGACAACTTCCCTTAGAAAGTCATATTTTTGTCTATATATGCACTCATGCATCTTTACTTTGTAAAATATCAAAATACTTAAAATCCTGTGAAAAGGATGGGATTACTGTTAATTTAGAAATTATTAAGATGTTTTTATTAATGCAAAAAATGTGCCAGTATCAGGTTAGCAATAATAAAAACTTTCATTCATAATTTCAGTAGTGATTTTCCTTTATCAAAATTTTTGTAATCACATTAATTAGATTTTGCATTTTTCCCAGAAGTCAAGGATTCACAATGATAAATGAACACATTAATTTTAAAATGTACAGTTTACAGTTGTAGTGTTTTAACCATTTTAACATCATTCTGTGGTCTTGATTTATTACCAGTAATTGTCACTGAAAAACTATATAAAACTATGTCTTTGTCTTTTTGGTCTACAGATAGTCGTCTCATGGCAATCTTTATATAAAAGTTCATGTAATATTTCATTTTCACCACAGAGTGAGGAAATAGCAAATATATAGTGATAATATTGACAAGTATATCCATGTTAAAATGAGCATATAGCATGACATGAAAGAATTATGATAGTAAAAGGCAAATTCAGGACTTTCTTTTTCAGACAGACCTTGACAGGTATTAAGACTGGTTCAAACAGTAGTCATTTTTTTATGCCCGTAGCGGAGGGGGCATTAAGTTTTACCCTTGTCCCTCTGATACGTACGTCCCAAAATTGGATTCCGTTCTCTTACTTTAGTTTGCCTCAACCAAATGTTCTAAAACTTATACACAATGCTTATTACCACAAAACACAGATCAAGTGTGAATTTTGGTGGCGTCACTTTTACCGTTCTAGAGTTATGCCCCTTTACAAATGGAAAAATTGCTGAATTTTTCGTTTCCATTCTCTTAAGTTTGCCTCAACTAAATGTTATGTAACTTATACACAATGCTTACTACCACTAAACACAGATCAAGTTTGAATGTTGGTGGCGTCACTTATACTGTTCTAAGAGTTATGCCCCTTTACAAATGGAAAAAAATGCTGAATTTTTGTTTCTTTTCTATCACTTCAGTTTGTCTCATCTAAATGTTATGAAACTTATACACAATGCTTATTACCACTAAACACAGATAAAGTACAAATTTAGGTAGCGTCACTTTTACATTTCTTGAGTTATGTCTCTTTATAACGAAATATGCAAGCCGGGGCATCATCTGTGTCTCATGGACACATTCCCCATTTATTTTAATAAGCATAATTTTCATAGTTTTGATTTTCACTGCTTTTTTTTGTTTTTGTTTACCCAACTTTAATGACATTTTAAAATACACTGGAAAGGAGGCAAACTTTTCAGAACAAAACACCAATATGGTCAGCATTTGTGATTTAAATAGAAAAAAGTTGTTTAAATGAAAAAAATGTTACCTTAACCTTAGTGTATGTATATACACTAAGTAAGTTAAATTACTTCCAATCTAAAGAACTGTTTAAAAGAAACCAAAAAAATACAATATTGAATATGTCAGAAGAAAATAGATTTACATGATATGTATAATAATGTTATTTTCACAGCAGTCCAATTTTTTTTACATAATTTGTAAATATATATCAACCTTGTGCAACATATTGACATAAATTTAAAGAAGATGTATCATGTTTTCAGATGCATTGATTTATCACAAGGTTATACAAAAATCTGCTGATGTAATTGCCCTATTTTATAGAATTTTAGATCTTAACAATAAAAGGTCCTTTTATTTTGTTGCTATGGTAGTTATAAGTATATATGTACGTTAGGTGTGAAACATTGCAATCGATTTGATGTATTTCTAAAGTGTGAAGAAAATAGTGTTACTTTGATACCAAAGTGTAAATTGATATTAAATTATTTTTATCTGTCATAAGTATATCATATATATCATAGTTTACTTTTAAGAATCAATCTGTTCAAAAGGCAGATTTTCATCAAATCCTTTCCTCCATTTATCTAAGGCTCCCTCCTAATTTTACACAGATAATATGTATTGGCCCTTTCCTGCATTAATCTTAATGACTCCCCCCTTGATTTACAGAGATCGTATCTATCAGCCCTTTCTTCAAAATCATCTGAAACTCTACTGAATTTCACACAGATCATATCTATCAGCCCTTTCTTTCAGTAAATCTGGGACTCTCTCCTAATTTTACACAGATCACATCTACCGGTCCTGTTCTGCATTATAAATCTTTGAATCTCTCCTGATTTTACACAGATCACATCTATTTTTATGCCCTCGCCGTAGCGGAGGGGGTATTAAGTTTTACCCTTGTCCGTCTGTATGTCCCAAAATTGGTTTCCGTTCAATAACTGTAGTTTGCCTCAACCAAATGTTATAAAACTTATACACAATGCTTATTACCACAAAACAAAGATCAAGTTTGAATTTGGGTGGTGTCACTTTTACCTTTCTAGAGTTGTGTCCCTTTACAAATGAAATCAAAGTACTGAAGTACTGAACATCGAATGACTGCAAGTTCTTGTGGATGGTCACAAGCACTTGTCTCAGAAAAAAAAATCACATCTCTATACCTGAAAGTGAAGTTAATGTACAGAGATATATTTTTTCTGAGACAAGTTCGTGCGTGGATGATGAATAGATGACAGGGAATTCAACATCACCGTTATAACTATTATATTGTAGTGATACAAATCAGTATACTTTGGTTTGTTGTTATATATTATATTAATATTTGTATATAGCAGTTACATGTATATATAATTTTCATGCATTTGTATATCATTCTATTCTACTATTCTAATAATAGTGCAGTGCAAGTGCATAGTGGACACTCTTCTGTAATAATTCGCTTTTTCTAATAGATTGGATTTGAGTAGGGCTTTCCGATATATTGCTATCGCCTAGATTTCCATTACGTAACTTTCGTTTTGGGTTTGTAACCGATCTATAAACATGATAAATACGCGGATATAAACGAGTGCAAACTAACATTCCTTATTGTTTGTTATAAATACATCTCTTCAATGAATACTGATAGAAATATTTTTGTTTAGAACATAAATTAATAATATGAAAATGTTTTGTCGTTAGATATATATATATATATAAGTAAAAAATTATCGATAATATCTATGCACACGTACCGAAAAAGGCAAGGATCGGTTACTCTGTAATTGTTTTTGCGGGAAAATAGGAATGCCTACTTATATCCAATCTTTTAGAAAAATCGAATTTTTACAGAAGAGTGTCAACCATGCACTTGCACTGCACTATTATTAGAATAGTATAATAGAATGATATACAAATGGATGAAAATTATATATATATGTAACTGTTATATTAATATAATATATAACAACAAACCAGAGTATACTGATTTGTATCACTAAAATAAAATAGTTATTACGGTGAGGTTGAATTTCCTGTCATTTATTCATCATCCACACACGAACTTGTCTCAGAAAAAAATATATCTCTGTACATTAACCTCAGTTTCAGGTATAGAGATGTGATTTTTTTCTGTGACAAGTGCTTTTGACCATCCACAAGAACTTGCAGTCATCCGATGTTCAGTACTTCAGTACTTTGATTTACTTATATATATATTTCTAACGACAAAACATTTTCATATTATTAATTTATGTTCTAAAAAAAATATTTTTATGAGTATTCATTGAGAAATGAATTTATAACAAGCGATAAGGATTGTTATTTTGTACTCGATAATGTCAGTGTGTTTATAGATCGGTTACCAGTCAAAAACGAGAGTTACATAAGTAGAAATCTCTGTGGTAACATTCACGGTCATCGCAATGTAAAAATGCGGAATTTTTCGTTTCTGTTCTCTAATTTTTGTTTGCCTCAAGCAAATGTTATGAAACTTATACACAATGCTTATTACCACAAAACACAGATCAAGTTTTAATTTTGTTGGAGTCACTTTTACCACTCTAGAGTTATGCCCCTTTACAAATGGAAAAATTGCTGAATTTTTCGTTTCCGTTCTCTAACTTAAGTTTGCCTCAACCAAATGTGATGAAATATACACAATACTTATTACCACAAAGCTCAGATCAAGTACAAATTTGGGTAGCGTCACTATTACATTTCTTGTGTTATGTCCCTTTATAACGTTATATGCAAGCGGGGGCATCATCTGTGTCCAATGGACACATTCCCCATTTATTTGTTATACTAAATGCGCTCCCTCTTTATTTTGGTAAATAATTCGATTCAAAGTCTGAGTATTTGGAACCCGTGGTCTGTTAAAAAAAAAAAAATTCAAAACAGATTTTCTGTGAAAAAATTTAATTAGCGCCTTATTTTACACAACACATTGAACTTCTGTATAAGGCAAATTTGTATTTTCGTCTTGGCCATTACACTTTAAAAAGATAAAAATAAAAATGTGATAATTGAAAATGTACATTTTAGAACTCGTCCTAAATATCACTGAGTTATCAGGGATGATAGAACTAATTAATGAAGAATCCTAAATATCACTGGGTTATCAGGGATGCAGACCTGCCAACTATCCCATTTATGGGGGATATCCCCCATGAGAGGTGTTGAACTGAATTTTGAAATTCTTTATTATACGAACTGAACACCTCAAAACAGGCCTTCAAATGAGTTAAAAGGGTATTTGAGCACATACTTACTCATTCAAACAATATAGTAGTAGATTAAAAACACTTATGACAATATAAGAGGAGCATTAGGTCCTCTTTCGCTTAAAATCCCCCATGGAGATTTTGAAAAGTTGGCAGGTATGGGGATGATAGAACCAAACTTCTAAGGATAGGATGGGTAGAAATAGAACTGAATTTATTAGTCTGACAGATGGATAACAAATATAGATATATATAGTTCAGTCTCCAGTCTGGCACCATGCAGTATCACATTAAAAAGTCTATCATAAGAGATCGTAAATTGT